AAACTGTTTAGGGTTAGGACGGACAGAGCTTGGGTAAGCCAGCTGTAGAGTCCACGCATGTGTGAGAAAAGCTGATCCTGGTGCAAGATGTAGCCAGCAGAGGAAAGAGAATCCAAGTGGCCTGTAGACGAAGGGCCAGGTACCCCCATTTGGCTAGCACAGAATTCTAAGGAATCCAATAATTCTAAATTCAAAGCTGTCTTCCAGGTTGTTTTGACATTTTATTTGCCAAGATAGGAAGATAAAATTCATTTTATTTAACAGTTTGTTAGCTGGACTTACGACTTTTAAATACTTTGGCTTATGGTATGTGAGCCCCCACCTATACTATTGCTCTACAGTCAATAAATGTTAGGGATGGGCCTGTTATCTGTGGAGACTGATACTAATTAAATAATCATACACACACACACACACACACACACACACACAGTGTAAAATCGAACCAGAACACTAAGAAAAATAATATACTCTATGGGTCTCTCCTAAAATTCTCTCCTTGATCTCCATTCCCAAGGTTCTTAATGCATCTTTGGGTCTCCAGTTTCCCCTGAGCACTGCAAACCTCTTCTCTTACTACCCCAGGACCTAAAACACTGAAATATTTCACACTACTCTTGCCCCTTCTCAATGTGGAGCTCTAGGGAAGCCAACCCCAGGAAGAATAAGGGAGGCAGGCCAAGCAGGTTAATCTCTTCCAGACTCATTTCCATTTTTCCATTAGGTCCAAAGCAGGTGCCCACCCCCCCCCACCACCACCACTGCCATGATGGATTTCATCCTTGTAGCAACCTCTAGGTGTTCCACAGCTGACTCCACCTAGGAGATGGTTTCACCTCTTTGTTGAGGTATCCATGTGTCTCACAGCTTTTCTGCTTCCAGCTGTCTAAACTCATCCTACATCTATTTCTTCTCACTTGGTCTTCAGCAGAAACAGAGAAGCCTTCTCTGACTAATTGGGGGAAAGGTAGCACATTCCTCCACTTGTCTCTCTGAAAAGGCACCCCACACACTAGCCACTTTTAAGCACACATCTCTTTCTTGTATCCAATATTACTATAATTCCCCTGTGACCCACTGTCTGTGTTCTTGATCCCTATCAGCTTCTGTGATGTCTGGGTTAGATTGTGAAACTCCCAGAGGGCAGGGCCACATCTGCCCTGTGTCTCCAGACACTGCTTGCCAGAGCAGCAGGCATAGGTAGGCACTTACTTAATAGAGACTTTTGATGATGGAAATAGAGAAGCAGCACTCTGAACCTAGAGGATTGTGAGTGCACAGGAAGCAATCTACTATCACACCAGACCACAATCACAGCAGTCCTGCTAGGGACTAGACTGGGAAATGGGGCACACTTTTCCTTTTAAATGAGGCAGAAGGAGCACTGTCTTGCCTCTGACATAATAACAACAAAACACTGTGACAGCATGGCTCTGTGTTGACTGATCTGATGCTCAGAATGACCATCAATTGAGGACTATCATTATTATCCCTGTTTTACAGAGGAAGAACCTGAAGCGGAGAGAGGCTGTCCTACTTGTTCATGCCTTGAACTGGGGCCATCTGGCTTCAGAGATCTCAGCTGATCCACCATGGTCCATCGAAGTGAACCAGTGCAGTTTCAGTCAGAAACAGAGAGTAAAGAGCTGCCAGCTGGGCTCTTGTCCCACACTTCCATGTATCCTTGACCCCTGTCCAACCTAAATGAATGGCTGGGAAGAGGAGGGTGGCTACTCAGTCAGCTTGTGAGCATGGAGCCAAGTTGGCTTTCAAAGCATTTGTTCACACACACCCTCCATCTGCCTCTTCCTGTCCTCTCTTCTGGTTCTCAAACATGCTAAGCTTGTTCGCACTCAGGTCTTTGAACTTGCTATTTCCTCCACCTTGAGTGCTTTTCCCCCAGGCCTATGCATCAGTGCCTCCTTCTCATCATGTAGGGCCAGCTCGGATGGCACATTCTTGGGAAGGCTGTCTCTGATCACTCTTTCTAATGTTGATGCTTCTTTCTCAAACCCTCCCTTTCATTTTTGTCTAAGTCATTCTCCTATTTGACTCTCACCATAGTACTCAACACCATCTGAAATAGCTTTATTTATCTACTAGGTTACTGGTCTATTCCTGCATCTCCACTAGAATGTCACCTTTAGAAGAGAAGAGACCTCACCTATTTTGTTCATGACTGGATACTCAGTGCCTGGAACAGCATCTGGCACACTGTAGGTTCCCAACAAACATTTTTTAGGTAAAAGAATGCATGAACAAATGAGTGTAAAGTCCATTATAGGTATGTGCAAAAGTAGAACTGGCTGGCTCCTCCAGTCGCCCCTTACCCCATACATTACAAACCCTTATCAGGAAGAGACCAAATCTTCATTTAGGGCAGTCTTTTAGCCCTTGGAGTAGTGGCAAATGACCAGGGAGCTCTTTGGTTCCTTTGTTTGGGCAAAGAAAAGACCAAGACATTCAGCCACTGAGATTGCAGACTGCCCTCCCCTTACAGCCACATGTGGACAGTTGCTGGATAGCTTGCTTCCTGAACAGAAAATGAAATACTGACATCTCAGCTCTTTACTTTCTGTCTTTTTCTCTTCCTACTCTAAAGAGTTTTCCCCATCTCCCTTTTGTCACTCTTCCTCACTGATATCCTGTGAAGAAAAACAAGTAAAAGTGGGAAAATGTGTTCATATCTAACACATGCTCCTCTTATTACTATGAGAGCACAATCTCATTAAAATCTCTTGGCCCTTGCACAAATAATGCAAACCCCCAAAATATCATCATCGTGTGCAGCAAGTGCTTGACCGAATCCAGTCTTAATGTGCTAACATGACCCCCCTATTCCTTGCACATAATAATAGAGCTCATTCCTTTATTGTGTTAGTGTTTTAATTCAATGCTTTATTTATGACACACCATAAAAATAATGAAGAAGAAAGGAAACTCCTAACCTCTGCCTAGACCCTGTATCACGTGAGGGTATTTCACAATAGCCCTAATGATCCTTTTCTTCTTCTTTCTTCAACAAAATACTGCTTTCCCATGATCAAAATACCTGCCATTATATTTTAATCCTTCTCAAGATGTTTTCAGGCTCATTATCTTCTGAATCCTCCTAACAGACTTATAAGGAAAAAAGGAGGACAGATAAAGGTGCCTCTAAATCACAGAAGTTGGAAAAGGGGCCCCAAGGCATAAAGCAATTTGAGGAAGTTCACACAGCAGGTGAAATATCATCCAGAAAAGGCTCCAAGTCCTGCCGGTTTCTAGAGACAAGGTTGTTTTTGCCAGAAGCCACACTTCCAGCAGCCTCGGTGACATGTAGACCTAAGCCAACCCATATGGGAGAAGAAAGAAACAGCTTAAGGAGTTAGGAAGCTAAATAATTCTTCCTTTTGGAAAAGATGAGGCTCCTGATTGGGGCAGAATGCTGAGCAGGAGCATCCCACAGTAAGGCCCATTCTTGCTGCCAGCCAAGCCCCTCCACTCTGTGCCTCTGCTGGAGGCCCACCAATGGAAGTGGAGAGAAGGGCTGGAAGAAAGGCACTGAGCAGGCACCCTGGACCTTCTCACCTAACAGAGTCCTCAGCTCTGGGCAGGACTTCATTGGGGACTCCAGGCAAGCCTCGTCACAAGAAGAAGGAACCCAACCCTCAGCCCCTTAGAAACATTTATTCACTGAGATCCACATCACCTCCTTTCATACTGCCCAAGTAGGGACCCCAGTCATCATCTGTCCCAGAAGTGTGTTGCCCATTCAGAGCAAAGGTGAAATGAATGAAATTGTCAGCTAAGCCTATCTCTCAGAGAGCAAGCCTTCAGAAAGAGCCAGAGCCACTCAGGATCACTGGCATGGCATCCTGATGCTCTGCCTCTTGCTCAGGAAACACCCAGAAGTCTTCCCTCCACTTCTGGGAAACTACTGAAAAAGTGGCTGAGCAACCACACAACCCTGACCAAGGTGCGACTGAATGTTCCTTCTCCAGCATCACTAACTAGGTCAAATTTTCAGGTGAGTCTTTTCCGTCTGGGATTCTGTGGTAAGTGTTGCCACAACTCATGACTTTGGGAGAATGTCCACCTGCTATCTCCAGCCTCTAGAAAACACTAGATTGGAAGTGGAGCTGGAAGGGCTGGCATGAGTCTGTCTGAAAATTTGAGTGAATGGGGTAGGGAGGACCTTCAGACTTAGCAAGATTGGCTCATGATGATAGTTGGCATCCCCTATCCTGGATGGGGAGAGTTTAAGGGACATTCTAAGTTGATGTGCTTCAGGCCTGAGAAAAGGAGTAGATATGACAAGGTTCCCTTTCTTCCTTCTCCATATCCCTTCAACTCACTCTCAACCTGCTTACCTATTTGCTTTCAAACTAGGAAAACCTTGAGTCTGCCAAGAAGTGTCTTAGCAAATTGTAGAGTCTTCTTGGACCTAGAATCTCTCTCCATTTCCTCCTCAGTGGCTAAAACATACTCCTGAGGGTGTCAATGTAATATGGGAGGGGGGAGTTCAAAGTGAAAGAATAGGGTCAGGCTTGTTGTGTTTCAGTCTGTGAGAATAAGGGAAAGAGGACAAGATGTCTGCACATGTCCCTCCAAAGAGGGAAGAAGTTTAAATCTGGGACTGAAAACGGGCTGGGGGGAATGTCAGCAAACAACAAATCAGATAAAAAGATATCTCGGCTACAAGCATGAATGTACCACCACGTTCCTTCATTTCATCACTTTTGACTTCTGAATCGTCTATTCTGAGGATGGTTATGGAGTTTTGGGATGGAATTGGAGACACTAGCATTGGAAGGAAAATGCAAAAACTGGGGTACAACTCAGCCACCAAACAGGCTCTGCTGGGAACCAGACACCTTTTGGACAAACTTAACCAAAAGAAACATCACTGAGGAGCCCTTAGAGACGGCACAATCGTTCCCGAGGGCAAGCAGGTGAGTACTTATCTGCAAGACCTGAGGACACCATAAGGCAGCAGGAAAAGGGAAAAGGGGTCTCACCTGTTCCGGCCCCTGGAAGCAGATGCGGCAGAGCGGGGTCCTCATGCCACTGTCCAGGCTGCTGCCCAGTGAGTAGCAATCCTCAGCCTTCCCCTTACAGAAGTCATCTGAGGAGGCACTGCTGAGCAGCGAGGCAGGTGGCTCTGTGGCTGGGCCACCCCAGTCATCTTCCACAGAAGAAGGTGGCAAAGGTGGTGGAGGTGGCAGAGGAGTGGTCTCCCTGCCCACCCCTTCTCGAGGGCCCCTCCAGCCTGCCCACCCCCCGGCACCTAGAGCCGGAAGGGTGTTGTTGTTGGCCGCCAAGCTGGGGGGCTGGGGGTCTCCGTGCATGGGCAGGGGCGCTGGAGGGGGGCGCCGCAGTAGGAAAACCTTCAGGTCATTGAAGAGCATGCGGCAGCGGCACTTGAGGAGACCCTGGTGGCGCAACATCTGGGGAGCCGGGGCGCACAATCCACAGCAGGAGCGGGCACAGCAGCAGCACCACCACCAGAAGAGTCCACTCAGGGGCATCAGCATGTGCCCAGTGGAAGCAGAGAGCCCGGGAGGGGCAGCTGGAGTCTTTTCAGAGGAAGATAGTAGAATGGTTTGGGGTGGGGGTGGGGGGTCCACAGCAAAGCTGTGTTATGGGGGGGGGGATCTGCTTTCTCACTGGCTCCTCTTACACCCCCTCCAAGTAGCAAATCAATTGCCCCCAGGACTTAGAACTGTGAGTCACTGATTTTGAACTCTCCCTGGAAAGCCCGACAACAACAAAAAAGGTTTTCTTTCCTCCCTCCCACCAGCCTTAGCTTTGCTCAGGGTGTCTCCTTTTTGCCTGTGACTGGGGCACTGGGAGGGGAAGGGGGGTTTTAAAAAATGTTGAGGAAGGGCTGTTTGGGCCTTGAGATCAAGGTCTAGTTGTTAGAAAGTTTCCCAGGAGAAGATTGTTAGGTTCTTCTCAAATTCCTAGGCAATGGGAAATCTCTTTTCTTTTGTATAAAAGGGTGGGGAAGATTATAAATCAAATTTAGAGTGGACTGAGCTGGGCTTAGGGCAAGCCAGCCCAGTGAAAAATTGAGTACTGCATGTGCAGAGAGAAATAGTTTTCCTCAGGTAGCAGGTGATCGGTTGTGAGGGGTGGGTGGAGTGTAAGGTGGGGAGGGAGAGGAGGTTGGGAGAAGTTTTAATTCTCCTGGGCAGAAAACTGGGGCAATTAATCCCCAGAAGCACCAGAGTTGCTTTTAAGAGAGCAGTTGGATGGGGGGGGGGGGGGGGGGGGGGGGGGAGGAGGGATTGCAGGTGAAATTGGGCAAGGGGCTTGTGCTTTGCCTCCGCAGCCAAAGGGTTGCGCAAAAGAGGGAAAAGCCAATTAGGAGAATAGAAGTGGGAACATAATGGGCTGGGGAGGGGGAAAGAAATGGGGGGGAGAGGAAAGATCGTTTAACCCTTGCAGATCCGCTTCCTTCCTGAGCATGAAGATCCTGGCTAGAGGAAGGGTGTGTGTGTAGGGGACGGGAGGCAGTGGAGCAGAGAGAAGGGGTAGAGAAAAGGGGCGTTTGGGAAGAGACAGGAGGAAGGAGTAGTTACATGATCTCAGCCCCCAGCCCACCCCTGCGGTAGTCTGTAAATCCGCGGCCCCTTCCCCTTGGCTCCATCAAAGGTCCCTTCGGGCGAGGGGCAAGGGCCGGGAGAAGGGCAGATCCGGGAGGGTGAGTGGCCTCGCCTTCTCTTCCTCTTCCTCTTCCTCTTCTGGGCCGTTGTCGCCCTCCTCCTCTTGCTCCGAGTCTGCCCGCGGCCGCTGATGCTGCTGTGGCGGCGGCAGTGAACGCTGGTCGGCGTCCCGGTGTCTCCGGGGCGGGGGCTGCTCTGGCTCGTCCTCTGGCTGCTGCTCGCCGTCCGGCGCGGCCGCGACTCCCGGCTTCATGATCCTCCTCCTCCTCCTCCTCCTTCCCTGGGGGCCGGCTCTGAGCCCCCGCGCCCGGGCAGCGCTGCCATGCAACCAGAGGCGAGGCAGGCGTTGGGGTGGGGGCGGCTGGGGAGTGAGGAGGGGGGGCAATAAAAAAATGAAATAAAACTAGTGGAAGAATAACAATTCGGTTCTCAATCAGGCAAGAGTGCTTCTGGAGGGGTGGGGGTGGAGGAGGGCGGCTGCCGGGTCTTCACGGCAGCTCTGCCCCCACTACCCCCCCCCAAGGGCGGCCTCGGCCGGCTCTCTGTCCCCCCACACACACACACGCCCCTCCCTCCTCTCCGCTGCCTCCGGCTGGTTGGGCTCGCTGTTGCTACCTCCTCGCAGATGCAACGAGGTAAGGCTTGTTTGCGGTGCCAGTTGCAGGTGGGGAGGGGGAAACGAAGCCGTGTGGCCGAGGTGGGAGACAGCCAGCACTTGGCTCCGTCTTGGTCCTCGCGACTCCTCAAAACCGTATATAAATATATCTCTTATAAAAGGCGAGAGGAAGCAAATCAGATTCCAGGCTGCTGCCAGGTGTTGTCTCGTCTTCCGCCGTTGCTCAGCACCCGCCGCCGCGACTGCTGCCCCCCTGGCTCAATTCCCAAAGGGGTGGTGCTGGAAGGGAGGTGGCGGGGCGGTGAGCTGACCGTCCGAGGAATGGAAACAAGATTCCTGGAGCGGAGAAGGCTCTCAGCTGTCTCCGCTGCCGCCGCCGCCGCCGCCGCCGCCGCCGCTGCTGCTGCATTCAGCACCCCAGGCAAGTGGACAGCTCCCACCCAGACCCCGCGCGTCACGCAAGTAGGGGCCTGACGCAGACGCCGCGGAGGGATGGAGGAGGGAAAGGGGCCAAGAGGAAAAGAGGCTAGGGAGAGAGGGGAGGGAGGGAGAAAGAGAGAGAGGGAGAGAGAGAGAAGGAGAGAACTGTTCGAAGGAAGGGGGTGGGGAGGGACCAAGGGAAGGGAAGGAAGGACGCGAGGGAGGGATTTAGGAAGGAAGGGAGGAGGGAGCAAAGTGGAGGAAGAGGGAGAAAGGCAAGTGGAGTGGAAGGGAGCAATTCAGGTACATTTTCCCCCAGCTCGAAAGTATCAGTGTGGAGAGTTCGGTTGTAGAATTTTTTCCCAATGGACACTATCACCAGCCCTCTCAACGCGCATACACAGAGCCTTCTATGTCGCAACCAGAGTCCATTTCCCTGCTTATATAAACATTTTAAGCAGATATCAGTCTGCCAGCTTTGGGAAAGATAAAGTTTTGTGATTCTCGCACTAACACTGAGACTTGGTGGAGACTAAGTCCCTCATGACTAGGAACTCATGGGAAGAAAATGCTTCGAAGAAGGAGGAGATACCAGCACCATTTCTGCCAGTTGCTTCTAGAATTTAAGCTACAAAGGGCAGGGTTTGTTTGTCTGTTGCTGTTGTTTTGGTCCATTTTGATCATATGTGCATAGGTCAGTGGTGGCATGCAGTGAGTGCCCAATACATATTTGTTGAATGGACTGTAACCACCATCGCTACCACCAAAGTCATCATTACTCCAAGCCATAGACCTCTTTCAATTGTGGATCATAAGAATCCAGAACAGTATTATGGCTGCATCTTAACCAATATCTCCAACATGCCCTGATCCAAGCTTTTCATTGAGTTGCTGACAAGAGGTAATTTGAAATGGATTTTAATTTCCTCTTTCATTTGTTTCTGACTCATGTCACCCTACCGCATCCTTCTCAAGGAGTTCCTAATGAGTAGAAAGAAAGAGAAAACTTAAGGTGGTCTGTACAAATGTTCAGTACTTACAGGTGTAGATTTCAGTCATTTAAAACTTAGGCTTGCTTTCTTGCCTTTCTTCATAACCTCCCTCCCTCTCCCTCTGAACACTCACACACACCTCCAGGGTCATGGACTTGGACAAGCTATCCCAATGAGTCATCTACACAGCTGTGGTAATGCCTTTAGAAATATTGGAGCCATAGACAGAGAGCATGCAAAATCTCTGCACCAAAATATCACTGGCATGAAGTTGAGCCCTATGAATCATAAGAAAATACCCCTTTGCTGCCATCTCCTTGAATGTTTTATTCTTACAAGTGCTAAGGAGCAAGGACCTGAGTCTGGGTCTTGATTAAGCCAGGGTGGCTGCTTGTATGAATCATGTCTCAGCACCCACCATGGAGGCTGACACCTGTCCCAAGGTGAATGGTTAGAAGAGGATACTACAAAAATGACTACAAAATCAACTACAAAATAATATGTATGTTATGGATATCAGCACACCCACTCTGCTGCAAAAGAGAATTTCTTTGTTACAAAAATCCATCTGCTCTCAAAGAAAATTCTCTGTGTGCCACATCGCCCTGTGCCTGATTCTGACATTGTGCAAATCACACTCTATAATAATGATCTCATCATATATTCATCTCCTTTTACAAGACACAGAACTCCTTGAAGGCAGGGACCAGTTTTATATTTGTATCATCAGCACATAACATAGTGCCTAAAGCCCAATGTGTGATAGAGAAAACAAACATGAAATGAAAGAAAGACCTTTTTGTTTTAGTGAAGCTTACCCTATTTCTCCCCTTCAACCTAAACACATTCATGTGAGTGCTCTCATACATGGCTGAATATCTGCTTTACCTAAAGTTGGATTTCAGGGTCTTGTAAAATACAAATACTCACAAAATACTGGTTACAGGTACGTCGTGCAAGTGAGTCAGGGCAGGAAATAAAGGAGCCATGTGAAGCCTATATTCAGAGTTACAGAAAGGGGTGTTATCCATAAGACTGTCTTTCCCAACCCTTCCACTGAAAGGAAAAGGATTTCCAGAAACAGAAAACTGCTAAGGATGTGGAGCAAGGACAAGGCTGTCTGCGGAAAGACTGGAAGGCTTGAGAGTTCTGTTTTGAATAGAATGTAAATCCTGAAAAGCACCTCACTGAGTTACATTCTCCTTATGCTGATAATGAAACAATGGTTGTGAACCCCAAAAGTAAAAGCCACAGTAAAGAAAATGTCAAATCAATGGGTCTCCATTAAAGTATTCAAAATATTTATCGAACACCAATCATAGCCAAGGCATTGTACTGGAAGATGAAAACACAAAAATGGATTGGTTGGGATTGCTTCCTCAAGGGTCTAGTACTGTAAATATGTACATAATCATAATATAAGATATAAAATAATAAATTCTATAAAGGTATAAAACGTTTGGGGCATGTTTAAAATAAGGAGGTAACTATGTTTATGGCTTGGCAACAATTAGGATAGGTAGGGAGAGGTGGAGACATCAGAGCTCCAAGAAAGTCTTTTTCAAAAAGTGACACTTGAACTGAGTTAAAATATGTAGAGTTCAGAGAAAGGAAGCATATTTCTGGCAGTGGGGATGTTAAATACTTTAGTTCTCCCATTTGTCTGGAGTAGTTGGTGCTTGAAATTAAGTAGCCGGAAGGAAAGTTTGAAGGGTAGGCTGGAGCCAGATCACAGAAGGCCCTGAACGCCAATCTGAGAGATTTATTCATTGACCAGTTACTTGTTTTAATGGTTTTAAAGATTTGGAGCTGAAGGTGAAGGGCAGAAATAAACTTTA